AAAAAATGGTTTGAGAGTCAGTCAAATATGGAATTAAACTATCGTAGCCACTAAAGACGTGCCGACGATAATGAAAATGCGAGCAACGTTAGTCTCAGGCAGTAAAAACCATCGAACTCTATCACATGCCGCAAAGAGAAAGTTTCAAAGCGTATAGCCTCCCTTCATTCATAAAACAGAATACGCCCCAACAGACAACACTTCTAGTCAGTAATAAAAGTCGCGTTATCTAAGGTAATAATGACTAGGTATCAGCATAGTCAAGCAATCTATGTCTGCTTAGTCGACAGGATTATCAGTGGACATTGTGCGGTTACGGGCAAATATCACCAATAATAAACAAATATTCGCATAACGCCAATTCATCGTTATTACTCAACTACCCCTGAAATTTTAATGAAGAGGTATAATTCTGTAGAGTTGAAGGCTATAGACTCACGCGTTCACTTCAAGTAGTGCGGCACTCTTAGTTTGTTTATTTCCATCCACTATTTGGTCGACCTTTTTATCGTTTTCCTCAGAAGTCCTCATCTTGTCTTCAGATTCTCCAACGTTGTCATCACCTATTCCAACTTCGTGACCCTCGTGACCCTCGTTTTCTTCGACTTGTTGCCTAAGAAATAAATTCCAAGGCAAGTTAAAGGGAATGAGCATTGTAAACTATTTTCCAAATTGTAATGACCTTCACGCTCAGATAAATTTACCAGACAAATAATTTGGTCATTTTGATGTGTTTCCTAGCTGGAATCGTTTTGATCCACAAACACAAGAAGTAATAATATAGTAAGCCAGTTTTGTATGGTTATCTGACCACTACCGTTTAGCACACGTACTTATTGGCAAAAAGACCAGTCTTCTCAAGTACACTGCTTTTTGCCTCAAAGATAAAAAAGTGTATTTCTTCAACCTCTATAATGCGCATGTATACGTTAACTTTTTAACTTGTTGGGTGCGTTACACTTCAAAAGAATGAGATGCGATCACTTGAACACAAATTTTATTTTCCTGACGTTTCAGACTCTGTCAAGAACCCTTAATCATAATCATGGTGTGAAAAATACATAGAACGCGCTCTATTCATAGTTCGTTATGGCCATTCACATGCTTACTATAATTATCAGCCCTTGTAATCACCGCTTGGGGTCGTAATTCGTGCGGCAATGGCTTTGCAGTTAGCTTTCGAGTCATTAGTTGCTGCGATTTTGTTGACCATGTCGGATGCGGCCTTGATAATTGCGCGAACATTACTGCCACCTGGATTGTTGCTGGGCCCGGCCCCTCCCACGTGACTGATTCTCCTACACAGACAACGTCTCAGTACGCAGTATGGGAACGGCAACTCGTTACGCGTGTTCATTAACTGTGCGCCTAAGAACCATGACTCAAGCAGCTCTCGGCTCACGAGGTTGTCACCCCTTTTGAGGATTTCGGCCTCATCAAACTTGAAAAAATGGCCGGATCCCATCGACTAAAGTGCAGTCTGGGATTTGGCGTCTTTCTTTTTTAACTGCTGCTGTGTGCTGAACCATTAACGTCCGGAGTTATCTACCAGTTTCTCCGACGTAGCTGTCTTGTTCACAACTGCACAAGTTCCGATTGACGACTACAGCCGTTTCGTGCCGTGGCAGTGGGTTTTTCGTTCCCATGAACCGGCGCCTGATTGTTGCTTCTGGCCTGTGTGCAACTCCAAATCCAAGTGGGGTGAGCAGGCAGCGGACTTCTTCCGATACTTCTTCGCGTATGGTAGACCTCGCGAAACGTTGGGCCAGTTTAATTTGGTTTCCTGTCTCATCTACGTATGCACTGACTGGCAACATTGCGCGAGTAACCATTCGCTCCTAGTACCTGTCGAATATATTTTAGGTCAGAAACTTTGCTTTCCACTTCGCTGCAATGCCTCTCAATGCGCTGGTATAGCGTTCATACGCAGCTGTGTTTGTGTGATCAGGCACTTGCTCTTGACATTCAGGACTTGTATAGAGTTGGACCCTTTCCTGAAAACTTAAGTGTGCCAGTTGTCGCATCGTTTTCTTCTGAACTGGTTCCTGGAACTCGCATATTCGCTTCTTAATTACATTTACTGAAGGGCTAGGCGCCTATGCGAGCAGACATAAAGGAATCATCCAGTTGCAGTCAATCGATATCTGGAAATTGTTCTTTATCAGAAATGCGCTTCAATCGGTTGACAGCCGCCGCCGACGCTAAGTGAATACTAATAAAACCTTTTTGTTAATCCACAAGCTGCCAGTGAGACATTAAAATGCTGCACTAGCAGATATCTGAGACCGTATTTTTGCGGCTAGCAAACGCAGCCACAGATTGCTGTTGTTATTGTTGTAGTCCGTTTTGTTTTCATGGAAAACTGCTTTCTGCGTCGCTCATGTACTCTGTGTGTCCGGGCGCGGATCGGCCTCGGACTTCTCCAGAGCGAACACAATAAAAACCCGGCAATTCTATCTACTCCTACTGCGTCAACCACAATTTTGACCACCAAACTAGTGATCATGCTCGGAAGGCTTCCCTGTCGAAGTCTTAAGTTACTATCATCATTGCCAGGGCTGCTGGTTTTTTCACCCTCACCACTGGGTGAACACTTCTGACACTCGCCCACCGTCACCACCATGGCTTCCATAACCAGCATTGTGAAATCGATCACAGTTTGCCCCCATTGTGATCGCTCATTCACCTGAGGCCTTAGGATTGGGTGACCACTTGTGACGTTATCACATTGTGTGACCAGTAAGCTACTGGCAGGAACATTCACAAAAGCAGGCCTCACCAGAATATAAATACATCAAGCCCATCCTGCACATCCGAAAACTCTCCAATCACCAGAAAAATGAATGTCCTTTTCCTCTTAACCAGCAAGACGAACAGTGACAGCATTGCTACCGCAACCGACTCAACACCTTCAAACATATCCTACTCACATTACCATCGAACATGAACAGAATGCATTGGCTTGATCAGTCACATGCAAATCCATCGCACAGAGACTGACCAACGAGTGTCAAGTTGCTTGCATAGACCTAGTTGGTTATATGCGCATCCAGAATAACGTGCAGTCAAACACTGCTGTTTAAACCAAAAGAAAACTCATCTCTTTACTAGTACACCACCCGATGCCCTTCCACCTCACAGGCGTTCGAAACGACTCCTTCTCCACATGGTCTCTGTTGCACTGACACGTGCGAAATCCGAACCACCTCTTCCCTTTGTTTTAAAACCTTATTTGTTGTATTGGGGGCAGGTCGTTTGCTGAAA